ACCCCTGTAGCCCCGCTACCAAATCCTTGACGTATCTGAGGGAGAAAAAAAATCACAATGGAGGTAGTCAAACACTGGAACAGGTTGCCCTGAGGCTCTGGAGTCGCCATCCTTGGAGGTACTCCAAACTCAGCTGGACAAAGCCCTGAGCAACCTGGCCTAACACCCACACCAGCACTGCTCTGAGCAGGGCGTGAATAAGTGCCAGAAGGCCTTTCCAACCCAAATTATTCTGTGATTCTACAAAACTGTTTGAATCACTTCCACTCTCAGTAAACATTTGGAAGACAGAGGAATACAGAGACAGAGCAGAATATGTTTGTCTTGGCATTACTGAGGACAGCCTACCCTTCAAAATAAGTAATTATTCTACATTGAGTTTGCGAGGAAAAAGACAGGCAAGCACAGCTGGAGCAGGAGATGGAGCCTGTTCTAATTAGAGGGAAATGGAGGCTGAGGAGGCAAACTGAAAAAGAGCTTTCAAACAAAAAACAGAGACAGGGAGTCTCACCAGCCAGGCATACGTTGTTTCTTAATTTCAAAGCACTGTGCAGAAAGTCCCACATGCTAGAAATTGCATTTGCTCTCCCTGCCCTGCTGTCTCTTCAGCTACGAGCCGGTTCAGCCCTGGAGCCATTGTGACATTTAAGCCATGACCAAAGCCTTGCGTGTGTCTGCCAGCCTTCCTGGGCTGTGCCTGAGGGAGATCTGGGCCGAATTCTCCTTTCTCCTTGCTTCTTGCAGGGTACAAATGCCCCACTGCTGGTTAGTGGGCCCTGCTGTGGAAGAGACACCTTGGTTTGAGGGTGGGGTTGAACCCAGGTCTCCTGCCCTCACAAAGAAATGTGGCATTGTGAATATTTATGTATATGGCAATATTCCAGAACTGTAATTCACTGGAACCTCACTTTGTGGCATTGTGAATATTTATGTATATGGCAACATTCCAGAACTGTAATTCACTGGAACCTCACTTTGAAATGTCCCTGGGCATTTCACAGCAAACAAACCGGCAGTGCCTTCCATACACACAATGAAATCACACCTGCATTTTGTCACAGTCTTCATGAGGCGCTTTCAACTTGTATTTGTCAGCTACGCAGATCCACCCAAAAATCAGATCTGATTAAGTTTCACTATCAAGAAAAAGATTACAGCCAACATACATCATAAGTCAGTACAAACATCAATGTTCAAAGATAACGTTCGAATCAGGAAGTTCAAATTCTCTTATTTCTTATCATCTTTCGAAATATTTGGATCCAAGTCCCACAGTTCTGCACACACATACAGACAACCATTGTGACTTAGCATCCGGACTCCTAATCCTTTCTAAGCCAGTGGGAAGCGCAAACTACGTGGACTCTGCTTGAAGAGCCAATGCCCCTATTAATCACAGCACACACCCAACAACCACCAACTGTATTATGAAAGGAAGAAAACAACAACAGTTGCTTTGTTTGCCAAGCCTGGCAGCAAAAGGTGGCAGTATCACCTGGGGTCTTTATCTACAAGCCTAGCAGAAAACACTTGTCGATTGAAAGGGAGATCTGTGCTCAGTTTCCTCTTCATCTTGAGTAGTCTTAGGTACAGTAAACACAACATAACTGCCAAGAGAGAGTTTGTGCTTTCATCCACAAATACAGGAAAAGCATGACTTGCCTGGAAGTCCTGTAGTCCAGTTCCTGGCCCTGCCCCAAAGAATATTTCAGATTTTATCCTATTAGAAGTTAATATAAAATGCATGAACAGGCCAGAGAACAAGGACAAGAACCCAGATTCTTGGAGAGAAGACTGGCACATACCTCCTGCCTGAAGACCACTCTGAATTGAAAGTTGGTGGAGCCATCTTCCCATGCCATAAGTCAGACCCCCCCAGGCCTCAGAAAGAGCACCTACCTATGCCCAATGTACTGGGTACCCTGATTGGGTAGCTCCTGCCACCAAGCCATTTCCTACCTCCTGACCATTACGAGAGCTTGTCTCCAGCTCCTGAGAAACCAGAAGGAAACTTCAGCAAATCATAGAATCATTTAGGTTGGAAAAGACCTTTAAGATCATCGAGTCCAACCATTAACCTAACACTGCCAAGGTCCACCACTAACCCATGTCCCTAAGCACCATGTCTACATGTCTTTTAAATACCTGCAGGAATGGTCACACTTCCCTGGGCAGCCTGTTCCAATGCTTGACAATCCTTTCGGTGAAGAAATTTTTCCTAATACCCAATCTAAACGTCCCCTGGAGCAACTTGAGGGCCATTTCCTCTTGTCCTATCGCTTTTTACTTGGGAGAAGAGACCAACCCCCACCTCGCTACAACCTCCTTTCAGGTAGTTGTAGAGAGCGATAAGGTCTCCCCTCAGCCTCCTTTTCTCCAGGCTAAACAACCCCAGGTCCTTCAGCCACTCTTCCTAAGACTTGTTCTCCAGACCCTTCACCAGCTTCGTTGCCCTTCTCTGGACACAGTCCAGCACCTCCGTGTCTTTCTTGTAGTGAGGGGCCCAAAACTGAACACAGTATTCGAGGTGCAGACTCACCAGTGCCGAGTACAGGGGGATGATCAATTCCCTTGTCCTGCTGGCCATACCATTTCTGATACAGGCCAGGATGCTATTGGCATTATTGGACACCTGGGCACACTGCTGGCTCATATTCAGACAGCTGTTGACCAACATCCCCAGGTCCTTTTCCTCCAGCCAGCTTTCCAGCCACTCTTCCCCAAGCCTGTAGCGTTGCATGGGGTTGTTGTGACCAAAGTGCAGGACCCGACACTTAGTCTTATTGAACCTCATACAGTTGGCCTCAGCCCATCAATCCAGCCTGTCCAGATCCCTCTGTAGAGCCTTCCTACCCTCGAGCAGATCAACACTCCTGCCCAACTTGGTGTCATCTGCAAACGTACTGAGGGTGCACTCGATCCCCTCGTCCAGATCATTGATAAAGATATTAAACAGAACTGGCCCCAATACTGAGCCCTGGGGAACACCACTTGTGACTGGCCGCTGACTGGGAACACATGAGTTCCTAAAGCCATGACAAGTGGTCAATCTTTATCTTCTGCTTTGATAAGCCTAGAAAATTCAATAACCCTTTATGGCTGGTTTTTATAGTGAAAGCATTTACCTGGACACCATCTCTTCATATCTACTGCAATGTCATCCACATCCCATCATCCACAACCTGGACCACTGCCAGGTTATCCTAGAAGTCTTCTTGGTGTCTGGCTATGGGGATAGGTGTGTCTCCATAGTTTATTCACAGACAGAGGTCTATTTTTCTCTGGAATTATCTCCACATAAGAGAGGCTATCTTTTCCAGCTGGGTAACTCTTTGAACAAGAACTCATCAAGTGTCTACATGACATCAGATAGCTTACCCCTTTTTTCTGAGGACAGATTCCTCCTATGTGAAGAACCCTTATTCTAACATGCTGTAGATCCATTCAAGGGAACTGAGAACAGAATGTGGGAGACGCTACCAGTTTGGAGTCAGACTCCTTAAAAAACTTAGATTTCAACAAGTTAGGAGCTACAGGAAATAGCTTTTAACTGCCTTTCTCCCACAAAAATTCAGAACTGACGTACCTGCCTCAGAACACCTGCGCATGGAAAAGGGAATCACCAGGATCCAAACGGCGCTAAATGCTGTGCTGGGCATGGTGGGAGATCTGTAATGCTGCTCAGAGCCTGGCTGACTGTTTTATGCTCGCAGGTGGCAAGCCTGTCTCCTTAGGATGAGAAATAAGAAATGCCTACAACTTTTCTTTGCAAGTACTAGCAGGAGAGGAGGGAGTTGCTTCTTTCAAAGAAGGGCAAGAAGAAGAAGTGCCTGTCTGTGGTGTATTACCTAATTGGCTAGACGCCTTTCCAGACGTGTCACATCAGAGCTTAATGTTCTTCTCAGCCAGAGGGCACTCAAATCACTGCCACTTACCAGCGTCAAGAACACCAGGCTGCAGGGTAATTTTTGGGCTTGGAAAGATGCTATCATTGTTACAGCACAAAGCTCCGGCACACCACACTACTGAAATTTTTTGTGGTTTGCCCACTGCAATCACTAAACCTTGTTTCAAAGTCTTTTATTTCTTCAGCTCTCCCTCCCCCGTTTTGTAAACCTGTTTACCAAGCAAGCAAACACAGCACGATATACCTCACCACTTTCTATGTTTTGGTCCCAGACAGAAGAATAACCCTTAGTGATGAACAAATGACTGCAGCACGTTTGGGGAAAACAGTAAAGGAGAAGTCTAGGTTTCCTAATCGCTGGTACCAGGTGGGAGCTGCCTGCAGGCGTCTCCGTTACCATGAGCCTGCTGAGGTTATCCTGCGGGCAAGGCATTGCTGCAGTGCAGCACAGCACAGGCTCGCTGCTAATGTGATTTTCTTAACTGCTCCATATGCAATGGTCTCCTGCTCAGGATCACTGCACCTTATCGCTCACTTTTTAATTTTTCAGCCTGTGTCTTAGAACATGGAAGCTCGATCTGGATTTGATATTGTAACATCAGTCTAGTGGTTTCCATTGCACAACGTGGAAGTCCCTTCCCTAGGCTCGTTCTCTGTTCACATACCCAAGGATCACATTAATCCTGTTTGCCACAGGGAGTTCAGGACACACGATCCCAAATGCAAACTCCAAAATCACTTGTAATCCCAGCTCTCCACTACGCATGAGCTTCCATGAGACAACTGCGTGTGACAGTCTTGCTACCAGCTGGGCTCTTGCCTCCTGCCGTACCTCACCCTTCCCCTTGCAACAGGCTTGACGCTCACCCGACTCCCCAGCGAGTTTGTTCAGCTCCTTATGCACACAGAAAGTCACTCTCTTTTTGCCAGATTACAGTGTTATGGTGGACGAGGGGCCAGGCAAGTGACAGAGCAAGAGGAAAGGGTGCGGTGAAGGCACGTGGCTGGCAGGACTCCCCATGGGTGGGAGCAAGCGGCTCCAACAGCCGTCAAACAACACGTCATCTATGGCCGCAGAGGGAGAAAAGCGCCCATGTCTCACGCTCTTCTGTGCAAAAGGGCACTTTGTTTCGCTTCACTGCAGATCGTTTTGCAGATCCCGGCTTTTGGCGTAGCTTCGGAGACAGCCGCGGCAGCCGACTGGGGCAGGAACCCCTGGTGCGCGGGTGGATGGGAAGGAGAGCGGTTCGAAACACCGTCACCAGAGCCTAAGAGAGGGCATCGCCGCCGCGCCCCACTGCCGCTCGAGGAACGCGGTGCAGGGCCGGGCCTGGTGAAGCTGGGCCTGCAGCCTGCCCGGCGGGAGCCGGCCCGCACGACGGCAGAACCGGGCTCCGGGCAGCGCTCGGCACGACGGGCGCCGTGACGGCACCGAG